ACTTAAAATAAAGTGTCAGTGAACTGTTCTTACTGCTCAATAAATAGGAAAATTAAAACAATCAATATTGATTTCGGTGCTATCAATCAAATATGGGGGCTTCCTCAAATGACAACTGCTCAAAGATTGCCAGTTATTGGTATGCGCAATGCTGACATGTCACTGAGGGCTGTTGCAAGAGATGTTGGTTGTCAATTATCTCTGTCAGGCGACTGGCCAGAAAACATTGGTAAAGTCATGACGTCCAGGACAGCGTTCAGGTTAACCATGAGTGACGACTTCTAGGGATACAGCCCTTCTCAGAATCACAAGGCTTCAATCGTGCAAGTCAAGTGGGCTGTTAAATACAGATTGGCTTCCTCATCGTCGTTTGTCCAACAGAACAGTCGGAAATCGCTTAATATCGGTGTACAGACCTCTGAGCCGTCCGTTGTTATCCCCAGAGCACGACGTCCTTGGTTGCTAGCTCGACGTCGATGGAATTTGACGTCATGGGGAAGGGTCGATTTCTTTTGTTCATGACTGATAGTCGAGCTCCTGTCTGGCGCTGCAAGACCACTGCATATGTCTTAAAGAATGTATGCCACAATCTTAAAAATGAACTTAGTTTTTAACGTCATAGTTGGAGAGTCGGGACAACACTGGGACGTCGACACAATGACGCACAATTGTAAATTTGACCAGGATATGGACAAGATATTTTTCTTTCCCCATAGTGGGTGAGTTTAGTTTTACGCTGTGCTCAGCAATATTCCAGCTATATGGTGGCGGTCTGTAAATAATCTAGTCTGGACCAGACAATCCAGTGATCAGCAGCATGAACATCGATCTACGCAATAGGGATACGATGACATGTGTCAACCAAGTCAGCGAGTCTCACCACCCGATCCCGTTAGTCGCCTCTTACAAGCATGGGTTACTGAAGATCAATTCTTCGCCCATAAGAGAGGGCAATCGAGGCCATGCGGGTCTCCCTAATTTGGACGATGGTACCCTGTTACCGACATTTTCCCAGAGTCGGTAAATTGTGATATGGGAAAAGTTCAAATGTACTGCAACTGAACAGTGTGATTCATCAGTTCAACGTCCAACAGGATCATTTCTCGCATAACGATTTTCAAAATTCACGTTGTTAGCTGAACGACATGGGTTAGCACACGTACACTGACCTGACGTATTTACACAGAGGTACTTAAGGATGTGCTGAAAACAGTTTATGTACCATTATTCATTATACCATTTGCGGCTGGACATTCGTGTCATGTGAGCTGCATTACCTTCTTCATTGGTCAGAATCATAAATATTATCATAGTTCTAAAACACGTCATATTTTCCTCAATCTTATATAAATAATTGTGACTTTATAAAATAGGACTAGACAGCACATTTTGTATATTTTATTCAATAACGAGAATACTAAACGCTGTCTCAGCTAGAGTTGATCTTCATTGTCCAAGTTGTAAGATAATTAGCATTATGTGTAAAGCTTTAAGACTACATGCATGGTCCGGCCCAAGTCTATAATCTGTCAGTATCGATATACGCTCGTCTTCATTCCTAAGTTTTCTTGATAAGCTTTATGTACTAATTGTTAAGACGACATGTCCGGAGACAGAAGTAAACATTACTCTATGATAACACGCTCTCCGAGAAAACTGTTGGATAATTCAGTAATTTCTGCATTCTCAAGTCTTTCAAAGCTACGAGGTAATTTCAAGATTTAGATAGTCAGCAGTGTAGATTAGCAGCATTTGTAAGTATTGTTTAAAGTGACCGTTGAACGTGCGACCATGTCACGAACCCTGAGAGCATCGGTGGTATATATAACGGCCTTTATTCCGGGTATTTCACTCATGAAATGCACCGAATAAAGACTGGCCACTAGTCGATGCTTCTCTTGGTTATTTGAAGGTGTTGCGGTCCCAAGCTAATTCCCCGACAACAAATTCAAGGTATTATAATTATCCTACACCAAGAATAAACCCTAAAAAAGGTTACTTAAGGTCAAGGTTATTATAATATTAAGCTAAGAGACAAATACACGCACCATTCGTTTGAACAACTTGTGCCACGACACCCTATTGATCTTAACAAGTTCCTCCTTTGAAGATGCAATTCTGAATACCCGGTATGAACAAGCGAAACAATAAGTTCTGTTTCTTGACAACAAATAAATATGGGCAGTTCCGAATGGAAATGATAAAAACTCATATCATATTTAACGCTGTGAAATTATTAACGTCTTCCTCTAGCTTTGACAACGGTCTCTTGCTTTGACACCCATTTCTCTCTTTCATCTGTTTATCTTTTGTATGCATGCGTGTGTGTGTATATGTGTGTGTGTGACTGCCGAAGATAGATTATCGTCCCCAAATATACATTGCTCCAAGCATATGGAATCAGCCCTAGATACTCAATCACACCACCACAACTTCCACTCGGGTACCCACTATAGAATGTGTCACTCATAGATCATGTAATATACTTACGAAGGTCGCAGCTCTAAGATGGTTTAAAGGAACAGGACCACGGGTCATCCAGACACCCCCTTCCCCCCTGGTACCCACCATACAACGTGTTACTCACAGACCCGTGAAGATCCGGGTTAGAATTGATCTTCAGTAACCCATGCTTGTCGAAAAAGGCGGGTGGTCAGGCTCGCTGACTTGGTTCACACATGTCAATTGCGTAGATCTATGTTCATGCTGTTGATCACTGGAGTGTCTGGTCCAGACTCGATTATTTACAGATTGGCGCCATAGAGCTGGAATATTGCTGAGTGCGGCGTAAAACTAAACTCACTCACTGTTACTCACAGATAATGTCGTGAACCTTTTCCTGTTTTGGGCCTCGTTCAAGAAAAGGATCTTACTTATACTACTTCCCACTATAACGAAAGTCGAAACTCTCAGACAACTTTACAAAGTTATGACCAGACCCTGTCCCATCCTGCCACTAACACATAAATAAACATGAGCAAAATTAAAGATTAAAAAAAAAATAATAATGATAAGAGGCCAACCTCACATCGATCTTGAGAAGGTCAATGTGTTTGTGCTGTGATGGTTTCAACACATACCATCTATTCCCGGATAAGTATAGCCTCGCCGTATGGAAGTAGGCTGAGGGGTATCAGCTCTAATGTCGGTCCCTACATTCAGGATGTCAACAATTCCCTACAAAATCCTCGGTGAGTACATCGTACTGTCAGTATTACACACGTGTTGATGTTAGTACTGAATCATACTTGGTAGAACGAGTCACAAGCCCAGATTAACATATACACAATCTTAGTCTATGCTTACACATGTACCTACAAGTCGATACACAGTGACGCACCGATAGGATATGTCCTATTCTCTGTATATGCTCTGGGTCAGTATAGTTCTACACATGCTCTGCACATATTACGTATGTGCGTATTTGACAATGGGTATTCAGTTTAACTAAAATCACGAAACTGAAATACATAAAAAAATATTCAACCTCTATTTCTGTAGCCTGTTCGCAATGAATGAATGCGTCTACTTAAGATCCGGGTTCTACCATGTAGTTCTACATATGTATAAATGCTGTTTTGGTATAATTTGTGTTAGAAATGCTTACAATTACAAACGCTCGAAAAAACTGCGTTCACATTCCCCGCCTTTCGTCTACCCACAATGATAAAGTTTCCGCGAGGAAGTACTGATGAGGAAGTTAAGCGATTAGAGTTCTAACATCCATGAACTACCTGGGCTAAGGACGTACAATATGGACAACTTTATTTACCAGGTAGGAATATTTGTACTCAATACTGTCTGTGCTATATCAGTTCCTGATATAAGTTCCCAATTGTGTGTAGCACTGTATAAATCAGCCTGATTAGGTTCCGTACTCAACACTACAAGGAGACGGAACAAGTGTGCATTGTCGCCTCACCATGAATCGTCAGTTGTCATCTGTTTATATCACGCATAGCATCCGTGTTGATGAAGATCGCTGGCAATATACCAGCTGGACCACTTACTAAATATATATCATAGCTTTGGGAAATTGTAAGGGAAGATCGGATATGTTTCAGTGGACGGGATATGTTTTTTTAGAGAGCTCCGTCAGTACATTGTTGAGTCAGGGGTGTTATAATGTATATGTGTCAAGCGATATGAGTGCTCGGATAGGAACGTAGTAGGTAGCTGAGCAAACACGGCTTTAGATCTATGTTAGTGGAGCGAAAAAAACAAACCAAGAGGGACTTTCCATGCTTGTCGACCAGCCAATGAAATGGCTCAGTTTCATAAGAGCGTGAACCCGGAAGGTCATAGGAGATAATTGGTGACCTGGGGCATGCGGTGCAGTTCAGAGTTACCTCCCCTGTTGTGCGCCTGGGCTGCGACAGAGTGTCTATTTTGCTATCGTATCAGCTGAAACGCCTACTGTTCAAAACTAGCTTTACAAACAACGCAAAGAAGATGCCGCTTGTGTCAGTTATGTTGATAGATATGTTTTTCGTACTCTGTGAAATCCTCACATACTGTGTAGGCCTACACTTTAAGGTAGAATATGCATGGGCCGTCACAACGAACTTGATGAATTTGGCGTGTGGTCACTGAAAACCTTTCGTGAATTAAAATGTTGGACGAATGTTTAGTGGAAAAAATGGTTAATCCTTTTATGGTGATCTTTTTATGAAGCTTGAGTTTGAACAGTCTGTATAGTTGTTGGCAACTAGTGCTATACACGATACATAGGTATGTCTAGTTTTGTATGTTAACCATTTGTACATAGCACATGTGATGGGTGTGGTGCATGCAGATACTGGGTGTTGTACATGGAGGGTGTGACACATGTTTGTGGAGGGTGTGGCACATCCTGGTGGAGGGTGTGGCACATGTAGTAGTGGGTGTGGCACATGTAGTAGTGGGTGTGGCACATCCTGGTGGAGGGTGTGGCACATGTAATAGTGGGTGGTTGGCACATGTAGTAGTGGGTGTGGCACATGTAGTAGTGGGTGTGGCACATCCTGGTGGAGGGTGTGGCACATGTAGTAGTGGGTGTGGCACATCCTGGTGGAGGGTGTGGCACATGTAGTAGTGGGTGGAGAGTGGCACATCCTGGTGGAGGGTGTGGCACATGTAGTAGTGGGTGTGGCACATCCTGGTGGAGGGTGTGGCACATGTAGTAGTGGGTGTGGCACATCCTGGTGGAGGGTGTGGCACATGTAGTAGTGGGTGTGGCACATCCTGGTGGAGGGTGTGTAGTAGTGGGTGTGGCACATCCCTGGTGGAGGTGTGGCACATGTGTAGTGGTGTGGCACATCCTGGTGGAGGGTGTGGCACATGTAGGGTGGCACATGTGGCACATCCATCCTGGTGGAGGGTGGGTGTGGCACATCCTGGTGGTGTGGCACATGTAGTAGTGGGTGTGGCACATCCTGGTGGAGGGTGTGACACATGTAGTAGTGGGTGTGGCACATGTAGTAGTGGGTGTGGCACATCCTGGTGGAGGGTGTGGCGCATGGAGGGTGTGTCATATGCAAGTAGAGGGTGGGGCACAAGTTTGTGGCGGGTGTGACACATGCAAGTAGAAGATGTGGTGCATCCTTGTGGAGGGTGTGGCACATGTAATAGTGGGTGTGGCACATCCTGGTGGAGGGTGTGGCACATGCCAGTGGATGGTGTGTCACATGCAAGTGGAGGTTGTGGCACATGCTAGGAGGGGGTTGCACATGCTAATGGAGGATGTGACACGTGCCAGTGGGGCACATGCTTTTAGAGGTAGTGGCACATGCTTGTGGGTGGTGTGACACGTGTCAGTGAAAGGTGTGGCTTGTGCTAGTGGAGGTGTGACACGTGCCAGTTGAGGGTGCGGCACATGCTACTTGAGGGTGAGGCACATGCAATTAGAGGGTGGGGCACATGCTAGTGGAGAGTGCGGCACATCGAAGTTGAGGCGGTGACACGTGCAACACGTGACACATCCTTTCAGAGGTAGTGATACGTGGTAGTGAAGGACGTGGCACAGTCTAGTGGAGGGTGTGGCACATACTTTTATTTTTAGTGACACATGCTACTGGAGGGTCACATGTGGCAGTGGGAGGTGTGGCATACTCTTAAAGAGGTAGTGGCACGTGGTTATGGAGGGTGTGGCGCATGCTTATGGAGGGTGTGGCACCTGCAAGTTGAGGATGTGGCACATGTTTTTAGAAGAGTAGCCGATGCTAGTGGATGGTGGGACACAGGCAAGTTGATGGTGGGGCACATGCTTCTAAAGGTAGTGGCACATGCTGTTAGAGGGTAGGGCACATTCAAGTAGAGGGTGTGGCACATGCTACTGGAGCATATGTGACACAGGCAACCAGAGCGGGTGTGGCACATGCCAGTTGACATAAAAATCTCGGTGTATACAACACCTGGTGGTGCTTCCATCTCCCTGAAACGTTGAATCTGCCTACGAACTCTTTACCTGGCTCTGTGTTTACCCCAAAAGCTGTCTTGATAAAACTTGATGGGACACTGCGTATTGAAACACTTGACAAAACGACACGCGCCCTTAAACCACACCCACATCCCGCCCACATACACACATCAACACTTGACAACCGATGCTGGAGGCTTACTATGGATAATGCACACACTAACCATCTGGGATTTAAGGTTACTGTTTCCTGTTTCTACAAGGGCACGGAGGGGCGTCCCAGGTAAGCACATCAGTCCATAACAGGACACCGTTTTCATTTGTAGGGTGATCAGGTGTGTATAATGGTCAACGTGATGTTCAGAAGTGTATAATAGTCAACGTGGTGTTCAGATGTGTATAATGGTCAACGTGGTGTTCAGATGTGTATAATGGTCAACGTGGTGTTCAGGTGTACTCGGTTAACATAGTGTTCAGGTGTACTCGATTAACATGGTGTTCAGGTTACTCGGTTAACATGGTGTTCAGGTGTACTCGGTAAACATGGTGTTCAGGTGTACACGGTTAACATGGTGTTCAGGTGTACTCGGTTAGCATGGTGTTCAGGTGTACACGGTTAAAATGGTGTTCAGGTGTACTCGGTTAACATGGTGTTCAGGTGTACTCGGTTAACATGGTGTTCAGGTGTACTCGGTTAACATGGTGTTCAATGTAAACATGGGTGTACGGTTAACATGGTGTTCAGGTGTACTCGGTTAACATGGTGTTCATGTGTACACGGTTAACATGGTGTTCAGGTATACACGGTTAACATGGTGTTCAACATGGTGTACACACGGTTAACATGGTGTTCAGGTGTTAACATGGTGTTCAGGTGTACTAGGTTCACGGTTAACATGGTGTTCAGGTGTACTCGGTTAACATTGTGTTCAGGTGTACACGGTTAACATGGTGTTCAGGTGTACACGGTTAACATGGTGTTCAGGTGTACTAGGTTAACATGGTGTTCAGGTGTACACGGTTAACATGGTGTTCAGGTGTACTCGGTTAACATGGTGTTCAGGTGTACTAGGTTAACATGGTGTTCAGGTGTACTCGGTTAACATGGTGTTCAGGTGTACTCGGTTATCATGGTGTTCAGGTGTACTCGGTTAACATTGTGTTCAGGTGTATTATGCATCAGTCTGATACTATCTACCACTACACAGTTTTAGAAAATCATTAGTCTGATGTTCTCTACAAGTATATACGGTTTTAGAAATTCATCAATCTAATGTTCACTACAAGTATACGGTTTTAGAAATTCATCATTCTGATGTTCACTACGGGTATACGGTTTTAGAAAATCATTCGTCTGATGTTCACAACAAGTATACGGTTTTAGAAATTCATCAGTCTGATGTTCACTACAAGTATACGGTTTTAGAAATTCATCAGTCTGATGTTCACTACAAGTATACGGTTTTTAGAAATTCATCAATCTAATGTTCACTACAAGTATACGGTTTTAGAAAATCATCAGTCTGATGTTCACTACAAGTATACGTTTTTAGAAATTCATCAGTCTGATGTTCACTACAAGTATACGGTTTTAGAAAATCAGTCTGATGTTCACTACAAGTATACGGTTTTTAGAAATTCATCAATCTAATGTTCACTACAAGTATACGGTTTTAGAAAATCATCAGTCTGATGTTCACTACAAGTATACGGTTTTAGAAATTCATCAGTCTAATGTTCACTACAAGTATACGTTTTAGAAATTCATCAGTCTGGTGCTCACTACAAGTATACGGTTTTAGAAATTCATCAGTCTAATGGTCACTATAAGTATACCGTTTTAGAAATTCATCAATCTAATGGTCACTATAAGTATATCAGTTTGTTCACTACAAGTATAAGGTTTTAGAAATTCATCAGTCTAATGGTCACTATAAATTATATCGTACCGTTTTAGAAATTCATCAGTCACTAATGCTCACTATTCAAGTATACAAATTATACGTTTTTAGAAATTCATCAGTCTAATGGTCACTATAAGTATACCGTTTTAGAAATTCATCAGTCTAATGGTCACTATAAGTATACCGTTTTAGAAATTCATCAGTCTAATGGTCACTATAAGTATACAGCTACAGAAATTCATCACTTTAATGTTCACTACAAGAACATGTACATGTATACGGTTTTAGAAATTCATCAATGTAATGTTCACTGATACTATACGGTTTTAGAAATTCATCAGTCATTAGAATCAATCATTCACTAGAAGGATACGGTTTTAGAAACTCATCAATTTAATGTTCACTACTAGTATACGGTTTTGGAAATTCACCAATCTAATGGTCACTAGAAGTATGCAGTTTTCGAAATTTATTTTATTTCATTTTATTTTTTTCTTGGACATTTTATTTCATTTTTCGTTTAATTGAATCCTATTTAATCTAATTTTTAGATTTTTATATCTTAAAATGGTTATTTTGATCGTTTATTATTATTGTTGTTGTTGTTGTTGTTGTTCAGATATAATCATAAATGTTATGTCTAAAATAAGGGATATTTGGCCATAGAAAAGTCCTATTTCAACAACCGGGAAAAAGCTACTTGTTGTTTCCGAAACCTATTGGCGGAAGGGCAGCGTCGGGTGAATTTGTGTCTTGTGTTTTGCACTGTGAGGAGGAACTCTCACCTCTGGACGAACCCTCCCTCCTGGAGAGTACGTGACAAGACAGGCGTAGGGACGTGACCAGGCGCAACCCTAGCAGCAGGCCTGCAGTGAAGATACACCGTTTTAAAATATTTCTTTTTGGTTTGTTAAAAAAAATCGAAACCCGTTGATAATTTCTATATTTTGTAGATTAACACCATCCAAAAGAGGCTGTGCACATTTCAGATTATGTTTTAAAAAATTATTATGAATTTGGTCCAAATGGAAAAAATAACAGACAATTACTAGATAAAGATACAAAGAAACGTAAACCCACGATTTTCTAAGTAATCTAGGTTAAGTATCATTTAGTGTATACATTCATAAATAATCTGCTGTTATACATTCATGGTACTAAACTATATGTGTCAGTTCATTACAGTATCATTGATAGATTTATATCATTGTAGAAATTCGGTTAAATTCACCATATGCTTGTACGTATAGTTTCGTATGAACAGATCAAAGTAGTATAGTCACAATTTATCAGTTTTTCAATTTTTTGAAAGTTTTATTTGTTTCAATTTTCCGTATTATTTCCGTATTTCATACAAATCCTTGAAACATTTAATGAGTACAAATACATATTCGAGGAAAGTCAGCAATTAAAATTCAAAATAAATTGTTCCACAAAATACCTCCTCTTATGTAATCGTAAGCACTCGGTTAAATTCCTTATCCTTGTACGTATAGTTTCAACAGATCAAAGTAGGATGAATGAATAAGATAAATTCAAAACAAGTCAAAGAATTTGTTTCAGTTATTTGTATTAAAGGCGTTCATATATATCCTTTAATCATCTTATTAATTTCATAAGTACAAATACATATTCGAGGAAGGTCAACAATTAAAATTCAAAATAAATTGTTCCCCAAAATACCATAATATATAAATGATTGTTTTCCTCTTCTTCTCATAATAAATGTTACGTTTTAAAGCAATCACAAAAAACAGGAACTTACATCACTGAGCATACATCTCACATGTTGTGCTCATCTTTAAAAAAGCCGGAAAAGAATGTACACCTTTGAAATTTGGATTTGACAAAAATAAATTACAAACGCAATGAGAAATTCACAAGTTTGAATCTTTGAACAAAATCAAGCTAAAATATCAGTACTTGTTTCAATGCATCTCTACTTTTCAGCATAAAGATTATATATGTTTTGACAGGCCGTGTGTGTGTGTGTGTGTGTGTGTGCGTGCGCGCGTGCGTGTGTGTGTGTGTATATATATTTATATATATATATTTACCTTCGGCGTTTATATACTTTCAATTAGGACATTGAATATTTGAAAAACTGTATATTCTATCAGCGACTTTGACAGTTTTTTATTCGTTTTCCTTTGTTTTGTTTTTTTAATTTCTTTCAGTTTTCAATGCATAATCTTCAGGTTGAATGTCGAAACTCTTTTGCTGACAAAACCTGTTCTAGTATTTTGCTTAGTGCAAGTGAACTGGAAAATCTGGGAGACCGGATCACTGCTCATGGTCATGGCGAGCGAACGTTGCTACTGAAAAGATGTTTTCCTCGAGAAATCATTTTTCTTTGTAAATTAGGAGAACACAGGACAGTACTTGTCCC